GCAGAAAAGGATATTTGTACGAGATAGGCTATGAAGGAAAGATTTCCCCCTGGTATTTTATGTTATGAGCAGGAAGTTCTCCTTAAAAAATGGAAAGGTTATCCTATCCTAATAAGGTTATTCCTTATTGCATCTATCTAGTTTGTTATATTGGCTGTGTTTGTTTTAGAACAAATGTGCACTTGGAGCCCAAGCTAAATTAGGCTGCTGAAGCTCCCCACAGCAAAACAACAACAACAACAACAAAAAAACTATTGCATTTCCTGTGCAGATTAATAAGCTTATACCTGGAATTTAACAGAGAAAACAAGACTGCCTTTTTAGGCGAACCTAGTTGTAGAATTGGTCTTAGGAGGAATTAGTCTGATTAAAATAGTTTTTCAGTATAATGTCTAGGAAAGGATATCTAAAATGCCATTGCGTATCCAGTTAATGGATAGAAGAAAATGTCATGGGTCTTTTCAGCAGCATGATATTTTATGTTAGCTTGTGTTAAGTATTTGCACAACCTTTATTGAGAGCACTGTACAGTATTTGCTGTCTGTCTTTCACCTCTCTCATTTTTGCTTCTGGATTTTCAACAGGGCAAATTGGTGATGCACCCCTGTCCCCCTTATGCCTTGGCATGGGCATCCAACAGCATTGTGGCTTGTGGCTGTGACAAAAAGATCGTAGCCTATGGGAAAGAAGGGCACGTGATCCAAACCTTTGACTACAGTCGAGATGCTTCAGAGAAGGAGTTCACTGTCGCAGCCGCCAGTCCAGGGGGCCAGTCAGTAGTAATTGGCAGTTTTGACAGGTGTGATGCTCGAAGATGGAACAAGGGAACCGATTGAAGTAGGGCAAACCTCTCCTGGCTACTCATTCCATCTTTGATCTCCCAGGCTGAGAGTGTTGAACTGGAGTCCTCGTCGCAGTGCATGGGAGGAGGCCAAGCCCAAGGAGATTTCTCATCTATATACTATCACAGCCTTGGCCTGGAAACGAGATGGCTCACGACTCTGTGCGGTGTGTTTCCCCTCTCCGTGGACACATGTATCACGCCAATGGATACAATTCCTGGATGGCCTTGTGTTGTGATCTCATGTTCTGGGTTGGAGGGCTGGTACACAAAGGATACCTGAAGGAAACTTTTGTTTGCACAGGGTACCCTGTGTGGTGGAGTGGAACAGTTTGACTGCTGCCTTCGCAGGAGCATTTACAAGAACAAATTTGAAATGACGTATGTGGGGCCAAGCCAGGTATGAGTGTGAAGTTTAGAATACAAGAACCTTTGCTCTTGCTGGCATCAAATACCAGCAGAACTGGAACTAAAAAATTGTTTTCCAAGTGGTATGGACAGTGATAGTTTGTTAGTCACAAAATTGATGCTATTGCCTTAGTGAATTAATGCATACAATGTTATAACAANGAAGAACAATCTTGTCAAATTGTATCAGACAGGTGTGAATGGCGTGAGCAAGGTGAGATTGTCTGATTTCAAGCACACTGTCTCTTCTTCTCAGGTGGCCTGGCAGGGATCTGGTGGGAATGAGAAGTTTTTCTTTGACAATGAAAATGTAAGTCTGTATATGCTACCCATTTGAATCTTGCCAGTATTTCTGTTGCTTCACTTTTTGTCTGCAAGAGCATGCTCTACTCTTCTGGTTGGCACTTCTATAATATTGGAAAGGGAAGAAGTATGAGAAACCATAACGTTTGAAGGCCCTATGCCCCTTTTCCTTGCCATTCAGGTGGTCATGTTTCCCATCTCACTCTAGGTCTGCATGATCTTCAACGCAGGAGAGTTGACTGTAGTGGAATACGGGAGTAATGAGATTTTGGGTTCTGTGCGCACCGAGTTTATGAACCCCCATCTCATCAGGTGAATAATGAGACCTTTTCCTGCTGTTAGAACTTGAAGAGTAAAAGCACCTGCCCTCCCAACATGCACATACATGTTCCTATTTTTGTACTTTCTTTTAGTGTCCGACTCAATGAGAGGAGGCAACGAGGCACTGAGGAGAACAAACGCCTGGCTTATTTAGTTGACATTAAGACCATTGCAGCAGGTGAATGATGTTCCTATTTTCTACCCAAGCTTTGACTGCTGGAGGTTGATCTCAACTTTAATTCTCAGCCTTGTACTTTTTTTTCCTGACTATAGTGGACCTTGTGGCCAGCTATAATATTGGCACGATCAGCCATGACAGCAAGATTGACTGGCTGGAGCTGAATGAAACTGGTCATAAATTGCTTTTCCGGGATAAAAAGATGAAGGTAACAGGAGGAGATAGAAGGGGAGGGAATTATATACCCTAAGTGGAAGAAACAAGGAAGATAACATGAAAAACATGCCTCTGTTGATGCTGTGTTTCTTTTCTCCCACCCACCTCACCTGTTATAATTCCCAGCTGCATCTCTATGACATTGACAATGCTGTAAAGACCACCATCCTTAGCTACTGTTCCTATGTGCAGTGGGTTCCAGGGAGTGACGTGGTGGTTGCCCAGAATCGAAATAGTCTCTGTGTATGGTATAATATTGATACACCAGAACGAGTGACCATGTTCCCCATGAAGGTAATATTTGCTCTCCACCTGCTGGCATCAGGCCAACAGACTGGCTTAAGTGCTTAGTTGGAAAAGATTAGCTGGAGTTTGTGAGGCTGCAGAGGGTCACAATCTCTCAGCTAGGGAAGGGAAGAGCTAGCCTGGCAGATTGTATAGTGTGGGAAAAGAACTAAGTTTTAAAAAATTGGCTCCTGCAGGGTGATATTGTGGACTTGGAGAGGAGCAATGGAAAGACAGAGGTGATTGTGACTGAAGGTGTAAATACCGTGTCCTACACTCTGGATGAGGGGCTCATTGAGTTTGGCACAGCAATTGATGATGGTGACTACCACAGGTGAGAGGCTGAAATGGATTCCAGAGAGGCTTAAATTTCCAACCAGGTGAGCATCTGGAAGCAGCCACCAAGCAACATCCCCAGAAAAGCTTTGGTGGGGATCCATAAGCAAGCAATGTCGGTCCACCCTTATTCTTGAAGGGAGGAACCTGCCCTTGCATGCGAAGCCTTGATGGAGTCTACAAAGAGTTTGAAGAAAATCTGATTTCTCATTCTTAATCGTTTAGTGTCCCATTGTCATGGGTGACTGGTATTGAGCCCCTTTGCTTTCTGCTTTTAGAGCTGTAGCTTTCTTAGAAACATTGGAGATGTCTGCTGAGACAGAGGCCATGTGGAAGACACTAAGTCGACTAGCATTGGAGGCCAAACAGCTGCATATTGCTGAAAGGTGAGTGATTTGGTACGGCAAGCTCCCTAAAAGTATCTGATAGAGTTGAACTGGCACTGTTAGCCAGAGAATCAGGAGCCTGGTTTTAGATAAACACATTTTCCTAAAAAGGCACAAGCTTTCGTCAGCTGCATTCCCTTTCAGCTCCTGACATGCATAGTGGCTAGGCTGATGTAGGATTGAAATTGGGGTGAAGCAGAGGAGGTGATGGTGAAAGACAAATTGGTTATATGGATGCAGGTTATAAAATAACTTAGTTGGAAAAGATGATGACAGACTCCTGTTTTTTTTGATACCATAGATCAGGGATGTCAAACTCTTATTTCATTGAGGGCCACATCAGGGTTGTGTTTGACATCCAGGAGGCGGTATGTGTGTGTGCCAGCTTCACAGCACTCGTGTTGGGGGCACCTGTGGCGGCACGAGTGCTTTGCCAGTGAAAACGGACTCCCAATCTTCTTTTCCAGCTGGGACGGCCTCCTACAACCCTCTGCCAGCGAAAATGGAGCTCGGGATAGGAGTCCAATTTCGCTGGCAGGGGCACCATAGGCTGGTCCTTCGCTGTTTCCAGGGCAGACCCATGGACCAGAGCTAAGCACCCCGTGGGCCTGATCCAGCCCGCAGGCCTTGAGTTTGACACCCATGCCATAGTTTAACTTAATTCTCCCACAGGGTCACTTGGAGAGCAATCCACTTAAACCAAGGAATTCTTTTTGATTCAGTCTGCCATCTTTCATGAAATACCTTGATTGGATTGTCATTTCTGCTTGTTAACAGTCTTGTTTACTTACCTTTTTAATAATTATATTTTTACGAATTTCCTTTAGCTCAGTTATGAGCTGGAAGACACTTTATTCTGCTTCCTATCCACTTCAGACCACAAAAACCTGCATCCCTTTGAATTTATACATTGATTGTTTGCTGTTTGTATTATTATGTATTTTTGTTGTGCACCACCCACCCTGTCTTGAGTTGGGTGTCCTTATCTGGAAACAAATAAAATTGCCAAAATAAAATAAAATAAACCCTAATAATATTTTCTTCTAGGTGTTTTGCTGCTCTTGGACAAGTATCCAAGGCTCGATTTCTCCATGAAACAAATGAGATTGCTGACCAAGTGGCTAAGGAATACGTGAGTGAAATGCAGAGCTTGCTTTTGCTCTTTTAATTCTCCTATCTCCTAGGTTTCCCTATCCATATTCCTGCAATTCCCTTTTCCTTCAATCTGGGATTCCTAAATTGGGGAGGTACAGGTAGAGTTCTGGGTGGGCCGAAGAACCTTTTAGTTACATTGCTACCATAAATCCACCTTTCCCAAAGATTCGTTGTATTGTTTATATTGTTCATTTTGGTGTTTGGGTTTTGGGGTGAGGTATATACATTAAGATTACTTTAAAGGGAGATGTGATGGCAAAAATGTCTAAGAACTCTTGCTTCAAAGGGAAAGAAGAGCCTACTAATCCAATAGGGCACTTGTCTTGCACTTGGTAGTTGCTTAACTTATATGGATAGAGTTGGATGGGGAGGAATCTATTTTTCCCAACAGTTTGAGAATGACATTCCCTCCTCTGTTTAATTGCTGGCTTCAGGGAGGAGATGGCACAGACTATTATCAAGTCCGAGTCCGCCTGGCTATGTTAGAAAAAAACTACAAACTGGCAGAGATGATCTTTCTGGAGCAAGTAAGTCTGGGAGCAGGGATTGCTTATTTTGAACACTTCAGTCCCCTACGCCTTTCTGTACCCTAACCCATTATTGTAATTTCCCCCTTTTTTAGAATGCTGTGGAGGAAGCCATGGAGATGTATCAAGAGCTTCACATGTGGGATGAATGCATCTCAGTGGCGGAGGCCAAAGTAAGTGAAGCACTGAAGCCTCGAGTTTCCTGGATAGTGTGGTATCTCCTCTGTTGTCCTCTCTCTCTCTCTCTCTCTCTCTCTTAGAACCATCCTGCACTAGAGAAATTGCGTCAAAGCTATTATGAGTGGCTGCTGCAGACACAGCAGGAGGAGAGGGCTGCTGAGGTGCAGGAGATCCAAGGGGACTTGCAAGCAGCCATTGGCCTCTATCTGAAGGCTGGACTACCGGCTAAAGCAGCACAGCTGACCATGGACCGAGAGGAGCTGCTGGCTAATACCGACCTCATCAATCGTATTGCTACAGCCCTCGTTCGAGGAGAGCTTTTTGAGCAGGTGAGGCATCGATTACATTGCATACAGTAGATACAATATATTTACTGTATTCAGTAGATATGCAGCCTCTTTAATTACACTACATTCCTCTTTTGAAGGAGACGTGCATCACCCAGTGGCAGTGGTGGGTATGCTTGTTACCTTCCTTTCATTTTCTTCAGGGCTGTAGTTGATAGCATTTTGGCAGATCTTCCCAGTGTTATTTAGGCCATAGGTGATAACCTACACAGCAGTGAGCATAAAGAGTGGTAGGAGTGGCTAGATTGCCAGAGTTGGGAAGGAGATAGGGCTTATACAATAATACAATAGCAGAGTTGGAAGGGACCTTGGAGGTCTTCTAGTCCAACCCCCTGCCTAGGCAGGAAACCCTATACCGTTCCAGACAAATGGCTATCCAACATCTTCTTAAAAACTTCCAGTGTTGGGCATTCTGGAGGCAACTTCTGTTCCACTGATTAATTGTTCTGTCAGGAAATTTCTCCCCAGCTCTAAGTTGCTTCTCTCCTTGATTAGTTTCCACCCATTGCTTCTTGTTCTGCCCTAAGGTGCCTTGGAGAATAGTTTGACTCCCTCTTCTTTGTGGCAATCTCTCTGTGGCTTGCAATAAACAAGTTCATTGCTTTTAGAGATTGAAAGAAAAGGGATCTATGTGACAATGAAGGTGATGATGGAATAGGAGGAAGGCCTAAGCCAGTAGTCCCAAACCTGAGTGGCCTGGGTGGGAGGAGTGGAACTGGCCCGTGCAAGTGGCAGACTGGCCCGTGCTCAAATGCACACACCTCAGTTCGCATGCAGCTCAACTTAGAAGTGTGTGTGTGTGCGTGTATGCATGAGTGCATGCCACCCTGCCACTCATGCAAGTTAAGCTGCACACATATGGGTAAGCCCGCCACTTGCATGGCCCGGTTCGAAATTGGCCATAACCTGGTAGTGGGCCGCAGCCTTGGGGTTGGGGAACCCTGGCCTAGGCTATCGATTGCTTTTGTGTTCAGCTCATTAATTTCAATATGTTTCTAAGGATTACCCATATTAGTGTCTTTTTGTCTTGAGTGTCTTGAGTTTTGCCTCAAGATGAAAAAAAGAACCTTTACTAAGAGAAAGGAAAGTTCTTCTACAGGTCAGTCTACTAGAAGTTATACCCTATATTTTAATTCATTAAATCTTGCAATTACTCTCTAAATTTGGTTACTCTTTCTCCCAAAACATCCTTTTTTAAAATTATAAATGGGCTATTAGTATGAGTCCATGTAGTTGTTCAATTTTCAAGGCACTTCAAAGTCTCCGGTTCTGCTGCAGTGATTTTCAATCTAAGGACTTTTGTGGTGAGGCCTTGGGGCAGTGAGATGTCATCGTTCCATGAGAAAAATACAATGATGTAGGGAGTCGGTTGGGTCGTCTGACAGCAGGAGGGAGTTTGATAGACCTCACTTTGCTTACAGAATACTTCCCTGCAGTAGGCAGGTTTTCCTCTGGTAAACTTTCAACCGATGCATTTCTCCCCTTTTTCAGGCCGGGGAACTCTTTGAAAAAATTCGTAACCCACAAAGAGCTCTGGAGTGCTATCGCAAGGGCAACTCCTTTCTGAAAGGTAAGAGAGGGAGGGAGGGAGGGAGGCTCCTCTCAGGTTGCACCTTGACTGTAAGTTCTCAGATGTTTTCATTTAATTTTGTATGGAGTTTTTATTGAAAAATGTTAATATTAGAAGGCAGAACAAAGTCATTTACAGGGAATCCTTGTTTAGCAACCACAATTGGAACCAGCAACTCAGGTTATTGAAGCAGTCACTAAGTTAAAATCATGTGATGATTTGGGTGAGCATGCTTGTGATTTCACTTCAGCTTTCCTTGGCTTCTTGCTACGTCCCTCAGCCAAACTGGGCTTCTTTCCTCCTTGAGGATATTTTGGTAGGAGATAAATAAGCAAGTGAAAATAAGAGCAGAGAGGCGACGTGAAGGTCATAAATGGGAGGTCACTAGGTTGTTTTAGCACCGTTGTAACTGTGAAGGATCATTAACAAGGCAATTACTAAGTGAGGACTACTTATATAGCAAATCTTGTTTATGGCAAAAAAAAAAAAATCTCAAAAAGTAAAAAGGACCAAGGGGAGAGGGTTCACCGACAAAAAGGCGAACGACAAAACTGCGCCCGACTAAACCACGGTGACAAAATCGTGTGTTCTAAAGCGCTCCGACAAATGAGCGCTGAATCGTGCCGACAACAGCACGGCGACAGAAGCGCGCTGTAAACCTAAACCTAACCCTAAACGTAACACTAAATCTAACTCCAAACCTAACCCTAAACCTAACCCTAAACCTAACCCTTACCTTAAGTTAAATTGGCTTTCTGTCGACGCGATGTTGTAAAGCGCCCTTCTGTCTCCACGCTGTTGTCGCCGTGCTGTTGTCGGCACGTTGATGATGTCGCGGTTTTAGCGACGTGGTTTTGTCGGCGCGCTTTTGTCATGCGCGCTTTTGTCGGGTCATGGGGGAGAGATATTTTAAAAAGGGCATTGTTTCTCCCTTCCATCCTTGGATTGGCAGATTTAGATTCTGCATGCTTCTTAAGAGACTTGCTTGCCCCAGATCTGGTCCTTTTAGTTCCTCTTACATGCTCTTTGTTCTTCCTTTCCCTGCAGCTGTAGAACTTTCTCGTTCAGTTTTTCCAGCAGAAGTGGTAAAGCTGGAGGAGGGCTGGGGAGACCACCTTGTACAACAGAAGCAACTAGACGCAGCTATCAACCACTACATTGAGGCCAGGTCTGTGGTGGGCATACTGACTAGACTCTTTGGGGCTACCTTTCTTGTAGTTACTGGTATCCTAAAAGTTGTATGTTGGACTGGCACTCGGGATCAGGGTGGGTCCTGTTGCAGCCTTGCTCTAAGGCCTATGAGCTGGATCCAGCCCGCGGGGCTGTCGTGTAAGCAACGAAGGACTGGCCTGCGGTGCCTCTGCCAGCGACAATGGGCAACCAAGCTCCGTTTTCAGCTGGGATGGCCTCTTGCAATGGCTTTAGGTGGCAGAGGGTTGCAGGAGGCCATCCCAGCCGAAAACTGAGATTGGGAGCCTCTTTTTGCTGGCAGAGTATCCAAGCAACCACAGGGGCCCCTGACACAAGTGCTGTCAAGCTGGCCATGCCCCCTCCAGATCAAACAACCCTGATTAAATCGTGTTTGACACCCCTGCTTTAAGGAATCTGATATTTTCCAGGTGTGCTATCAAGGCCATAGAAGCAGCCATTGGGGCTCGGCAGTGGAAGAAAGCTATATACATTCTTGACATGCAGGATAGGAAAACAGCAGCCAACTATTACCCCAAAATTGCCCAACACTATGCAGCCTTGCAAGAGTATGAGGTAACAGTTTTCTTCCTGCACACACTCTCATCCATTGACACGATCGAAAAAGTAACAAGCTGTTTGTCCCTTCAGATAGCAGAGGAGCTGTATGTTAAAGGAGACCACATCAAGGATGCCATTGATATGTACACCCAAGCTGGACATTGGGAAAAGGCACATAAGGTAAGAACATTCCAGGAAAATGCCCTTTTGTGTTCAGTGAATGCCAGAAGAGCATAGTAAACACTTCTCAACCAATTGTTTCTCCCATCAAAAAAACCTTCAAGAAGTTTACCATAGGGACAATTACAGGTAGGCCTTGCTTACCATGGTCATACGTTGAGGCACTCATATGACTGAATCCACTTTTACAACTGTTTGTAGGGTGATTGTTAAGCGAATCACACAGTCCTAAGCCTAATCCATTCTCCCAAATGGCCTTTTTTTAAAACCATAAATTGGCAACAAATTGTGGTCATAGGACCACATGATGTTGCAGCCGGTCATAAATATGAGCCAGTTGCCAAGAGCCTGGAAATAATGGTCATGTGGCAACCTTTTACGTTTTACAACGGCCAGAAGTGCTTCATGATCTGTAATGCACCTTTTCCAAGGCCATCATGACTCCCGATTGGTCATTAAAGGATTTTCTTACTGATGTCAAGTTGCAATATTCTTCATTGCATTTTAAACCTATTGTCTCTTCCCTTTCCCTCTGGAACAGCTGTGAATTATTATGTCCTCCCTCAGTCTTCTCTTCTCCTAGCTAAACAAAAATTAAGGCCTCCAGGCGTTGCAGGTAGTCCACAACTTATTACAGTTCATTCAGTGACCGTTCACTGGTCACTAAATTACAACAGCACTGAAAAAAGTGAGTTGTGACTGTTTTTTCATACTTTTAATGGCTGTAGCATCCCCATGGTCACATGATCAACATTCAGATGCTTGGCAACCAACTCGCACTTATGACACATTGCTGTGTCCCAGAATCATGTGATCCCCTCTTGTGGCCTTCTGACAAGCAAAGTCAATGGGGAAACCAGATTCAATTAACAAACGTGTTACTAATTTAAGAACTGCAATGATTCACTTAACACGCGTTGAGAAAAGTTGTAAAACAGGGTAAAACTCACTTAATAAATTTCTCACTTAGCAACATACATTTGGGCCTCAATTGTGGACGTAAGTTGGGGACTACCTATATTCATACGTTTTTCCTTTCAGGCACCTTATCTGGACACATTCTCACTAAATGCATTTCAGCTTGTCAACGTCCTTCCTAAAATGCACCTAGAATCGGATGCAATAATCTACTGTAGGTGTATTCTGGTCAGCCCAGAGCAGAGGGGAATGAGGCATCGAATGGCCATGTGTTCCCAGTTCCAGAAAGTGCATTTCAATAAAGCTTGCAATGGGAGGGTGTGAAGCAATTTGCTTTGGTTATCCAGAAGGGTTCAAAATGGGGTATTGTACATCTCTTGTGGGTATTTGGAGAAGGGGAGTTTATCCTTTCATGCCCAGGCCTTGCTCCCACTTCTCCTTGCAGCTGGCATCAAAATGCATGAAGCCAGAGGATGTGTCAGTGTTGTACATTACACAAGCTCAGGAGCTGGAGCGACAGGGAAAGTACAAGGAAGCTGAGAGGTGAGAAGTGTTTGAGTTCTGTATCTTTTAAACCAGAAGAATGGAATTTGTAAGAGAGGCCGGGGGAAGAAAGCGAAGAGAACCTTCCAACTGGTGTAAACAAACTATTAAGTAGAACTCTTGGGGACATGTCAATGAATCCCACAGACTAATTTTTTTTTATTTTTATTTTGCTAAGTTATATGTATCAGCACGGTAGTTCTAGGTGGGGTCCTTATTTGGGGATGCAACATTTTCAGTGCCAAGTTTACGCTTTTTCCAGGCTCTACATAACTGTGGATGAACCAGACTTGGCCATTACAATGTACAAGAATTGCAAGATGTATGATGAGATGATTCGCCTGCTGGCCAAATACCACAAGGATCTGCTGAGCGATACCCATTTGCACTTGGGCAAGGTAAAAGCATTTGAGGAGAAGTAACAGGAGAAAAGCAGGTTTGGTGGTGACCTTCTGACTTATTTTTCAGGAACTGGAAGCTGATGGGCATCTGCAGGAGGCGGAATATCACTACCTTGAAGCCAAGGATTGGAAGGCAGCTGTTAACATGTATCGTGTGAACAATATGTGGGATGAGGCCTACAGGGTAAGAGCAGCATATATAATTCCTTTTGGTGCAACAGCTGGGGCATGAGCTCTCCAAGCTGTTCCAGGCTGAGCTTAGGAGCTAAGTATGTGGTCCAGAATCACATCACTAGCATACTTCCTACCTGTGTGCTTACTACATAGCCTTAAAGAGTAGAGCATTAGGGGGTGCCAGAGGTATGCATCCACAAAGAAAAGACTGAAGGAAGGACATACCGTATTTTTCGGAGTATAAGATGCACCTTTTTCCCTCAAAAAAGAGGCTGAAAATCTGGGTGCGTCTTATACACTGAATACAGCATTTT